TCAACCCTCCCCCACGGTCCCCATTTCCTCCCCCCTCCCCCCAATCCCCAGTCAGTTTGGACACCCAAGCCTGCCGACCCTTCTCGCCTTTGCGGGGCCACTTTCCCTTCTGGAGGACTCTTCCCCAAGCTGCCCAGCCCTGCCTGTCCCTGACCCCGTCTGTGCTGCCGGGGCGTGGGTGGGCCCAGAGTATCCTTGCCCCTGCAGGCTACAACCAGATCCTCATAATTCCCTCGGGGGCTACCAGCATCCGGGTGGAGGAGGCGGCCGCCAGCAGGAATTTCCTGGGTGAGTGGTCCGGGGCGAGTCTGGGCTGTGGCAGGGCGGTGGGTCCTGCCCCAGCTGCTGACCGGGCGGCTCACCTCTGCGCAGCGGTGAAGAGCATCCGTGGAGAATACTACCTCAACGGGCACTGGACCATCGGGGGTGCCTGGGCCCTGCCTGTGGCCAGCACTGTCCTGCACTACGAGCGAGGGGCCGAGGGGGACCTGGCGCCTGAGCGGCTCCTGGCTCGTGGCCCCACCTCAGAGCCCCTAGTCATTGAGGTGAGGGGCTGCCAGGGAGCGGGGCCACCTGCTCCCCGAGAGGCGAGGTGGGGGCCACTGTCCTGCTGATTAGGAGGGATCCCACTGGGGGCAGGCCTCAGTGAGGACCCTCCCGCACAGCTCCTCAGCCAGGAGCCCAACCCAGGCGTGAGCTACGAGTACCACCTGCCCCTGGGCAGCCCCCAGCCCGGCTTCCACTGGAGCCACGGCTCGTGGAGTGACTGCAGCACCGAGTGCGGTGGAGGTGAGGGCAGCCCCGGGGAGATGGACACGTACGTGGGACATTTGCATGTCTTGGGGGTCACCTGGAGGAAACCCAGGGGTTGGGGACTCCATGAAGGGTCCCCCCCCCCTTCTAAGCTAAGAGAACCAAAGAAGGCTTCCCCGAGGTGGCAGCAGAGGCTGGGCTCGGAGCCGATGACCATGCATCGTAGTAGGGTTCCATCACCAGCAGATCATACTCCTCAAACCTCACTTTCCTCATCTGTAAATCGGAGATGACGATGGCACGTATCCCAGGGGGTCAGCTGAGAATCAAGATGACACTTGGGGTGTGTCCAGAATGATGCCCAGCCCAGAGAATGCGTTTGGTGGAGGCTGACTGACCCCCCGCTGCCCGCGATGGCCGGGCCTCTACAGGTCACCAGTCCCGCCCAGTGTTCTGCACCACTGACAACGAGGTCTACCCTGACCACATGTGCCAGCCCCAGCTGCGGCCGACTGACCACCGCCCCTGCAGCACTCACCCCTGTCCGCAGACCAAGCGGTGAGGCCTCTGCCAGCCCCCTCCACCCATGGTGGGGCCCGGGCCCTTGGATAGGAAGGCAGTGTGGTCTCTAGGCCACTTGAGCAAACAGTTGGGTTGGTCCAGGTCTCCCTACAGCTGTGGCCAGAGTGGGGCAGAGGCAGCTGCCACGGGGGGAAAGCAGTAGAGGGGCACGGGCATGAGATCCAGGGCTGTTCTGTCCATTCATGTGTGCCCAGTGCTCAGAATGTCCAGGCCGGTGGTGGGAGAGTGGGGAAAGGTACTGGAGGCCCTGTCTGAGCCAGCAGGGGACTTGGCAGATGCCAAGAAGTGGGCCAGGGATCGGGCCAGAGGGCCTGTGGGCATCAGCCATGCCTTTGTTCATGCACCAAGGACCTCTTACCTGCACCAGCCCAGAGCGTGGCACCTTGCTGGGGCCCAGCGTGCCTGCAGGAACAGGTAATCTGCAGGCCACAGGCTCCCTGCCACGTTGGTGCAGTCCTTCCACTCTCATGGCCTTGGTGGCAGCTGGCCTCTCGGGATGGTGGTGGGCTTGGCTTTGCATGGTGCACTCGGGGCTGCCCTGTCCTCTGGTCCTTGTGCCGCAGGGCTGGGCGGTACCACTCCACGAGTGGGTGAGCACGACCCCTCTGGGAGATGTCCCAGCTAAGGTCAGATGCAGTGGCAATGGAGTCTGGCTGGGGACGACAGGGCACCTGGTGAGAAGGAGAAAGGGGGATCGAGTGAGGACAGGAAAGCTAAAACGGGCAGCTAGGCTCCGTGCTGTAGGGACCAGTGCTCGGTGGTGGGAGATGGCAAGTGGAGGGCTTGGCCTTTGGTGCAGAGCTTTCTGCTTCCCCTCCCCCCTGCACCTGTCAGGCCTAGATTGGGGCCGGGTTGGGGGATCCCCAGTCCACTCTGCGTGTGACAGCCGGTGCCAGCTTGGGCCTGGGCTCCGGCTCCTGCTGCTGGGCCAGTCTGACTGGATTCCTGCTCCCTGCCAGCTGGAAGACGGGGCCCTGGTCACCCTGCTCAGCCTCCTGTGGCGGCGGCTCCCAGTCCCGCTCTGTCTACTGCGTCTTGTCCGATGAGGCTGGCGTCCAGGAGGCCACTGAGGAGGCCGGGTGTGCAGGCCTGCCCGGGAAGCCCCCCACCATGCGGCCTTGCAACCTGCAGCGCTGTGCATCCTGGAGCGCGGAGCCCTGGGGAGAGGTGAGGCCCCTGCCTAGAAGGGGCTGGGGTGGGGGTGGAGGGAGGGGAGGAAATCAGGTGCTGGGCCTTGGGGGTCTGGGCGGCAGCAGAGTCTGACTGGGAGGCTTCTCCTCTGCTGGGGAAATAGATCCGGGGAGGTAAAGTGACCTGCTAGGCGGTCTTGGGAGCTGTGGCCAAGGTGGGGGCTAGGAGGAGCTTCTTGGACTCTTCCTCCTTCTCCAGGATCCCAGACAGGGTGGGAAAGCTTTGCCTTGGCACAAAGAAGCAGCTGAGCCCATTGTTTGGGGGCGAGGGAGGAGCTGGTACTGTCTGGGGCTGCTGGTCAGCTGCTTCCGGCACATATATATGTCCAACTTTTGAATGAGGGTTGTGGAAAATGTACCTAAGCTTGGTGTCAGCAGCCCTGGTGTAGGCTGTGTGGCCTCAGAAGAGTGACTCAGTCTCCCTGAGCCCGGGAACCGGACGTGGGCAGTAGAGTGCTGTCCACCCTCCGTGCCGGCAGGTGCGCCTCCAGCTGTCTGCCCTGGCATGGCTCCTCCGGGCGAGGACGAGCTCCTGCTGACAGCCTGGTCCTTACAGTGTTCTGTCAGCTGTGGTGCCGGGATCCGGAAGCGGAGTGTCACTTGCCGGGGCGACGAGGGGTCTCTGCTCCAGGCGACAGCGTGCTCCTTGGAGGACCGCCCCCCCGTCTCTGAGCCCTGCGCGCATGAAGACTGTCCCCCCGTCAGCGACCAGGCCTGGCATGTGGGCGCCTGGGGTCTAGTGAGCACTTGCCTCCTTCCCTTCCATGGCTGCTGCCCAATCCCGGCCCCTTGGGTCTCTGACAGGTGGCCGGACACTTGACCATGCTTGGGTCTGATCTGCATTACCGGGCGTGTTCCCCCTCCCTTCCTTGTGGGGACCCCCAGCCTCAGGGTCTCTCTCCTTCTGTTTGCATGCCTACCCCGCGGGCCCCAGTGCTCCAAGAGCTGCAGCTCGGGCACTCGGCGTCGCCAGGTCGTCTGTGCCCTCGGGCCGCCCAGCCGCTGTGGGAGCCTGGCGCAGTCCAAGCCTGGGGAGGTGGAGCCCTGTAACACACAGCCCTGCCACCTTCCTCCAGGTGAGGACGGGGTGGGGGTGGAGGGGGTGTGGAGTGTGCCTGGCCTGACCTCTTTCCCCACCACGAACCAGCCAGCGCTTCCTAAGTGCCACACGGGCACCGGCGGGGCTCCTGCGTCTCTGTCTGCTGAAGGCTTTGCCGCCCGCAGCCTCTAACTCTGTGCAGCCCCGTGATCAGCCCGGTTTCCCCATCTGAGGCCGTGTCCCCATCCCACCCCCCAAAGCCCACGTAACTGCCGTCACTCTTGGGATTGTTTCCTTGTGCCGCAGTGATTGCATACGGCTTGTCAGGCCTACTGGCTTCCTTAAGTTCCCCCCCCCAGAACTTACCACGAGGTGGGTACTCGGTAAATGTTTATCATCGAATGACTGCGTGATTGAGTACAGAGGAGGGAGGTGGTCCAGGAGAGCTTGTCCTCACACACTGCTCCTGCCCTTGTCTTCCCCTTCCCCTCCCCCTCACCCCCATCCTGACTGGGAAAGACGTCCCAGGTGCGAGGAGCTGCAGGACAAAGGGCCCAGAGGCCGGTACTTGCTCGGTGTGAGGACGGGATATAGAGGAAGAATGTGGGTTGGGGCTCAGCTGGGAGGAGGGGAGTGTGGGTGGCAGCCCCTGATACCGTAGGAAGGTGTGTTTGGCCCTGACGTGCTAGTGGTGAGGGCCCCGTGAGCCACGATGGTAGACCTCCAAGGGAGGCCCCTGCCACGGTGACTAAGAGCAAGTTGTCTGGAGTTAGCAACTAACCTGAGTTTAAGTCTCTACTCTCTGTTGCTGACCAGCCACGTGGCTCTGGGTGAGTGCCTCTCCTCTCTGATTCTCGATTTGCCCACCCGTACAATGGGGTTAATAAGGGTGCTTTTCTTACGATGGTAACTTGGCACTCTGCAACACACAGAGCTTGATAAGCAAAGGGTCGGAAGCAGTGGTGGTGAGGCCGTGTGGGGGCCCCTGGGCCAGGCTCCTGGGGTGCCTCGGCCTGGCCTGGCCTTTGTGGTGCATGAGCAGGAGGGCCCTCCAGCTCCTCTGAGTCCAGCCCCCTGGAACCACTGACACCTTCCTGGAAGAGGTGGCCCTGAGCCTGCCCCAGAGAGGCATTCACATAGGTAGAAAGGAAGGAAACAGAAAGCATTTCAGGCCAGGCTGAAGTGCAAAAGAAATAACCTTCACTGCTACTTTTATAAAAATTATCTGTGTTCGTTGTAGAAAATTGGAAGATATTAGGAAAGTGGCATATAGACAAGTGGGATTGCCTCGATCCCATGCGTTAGTGCGATGAATCGAGTGTGTTTCCTTGTTTTGTGTGTGGGATTTTGTGCATGCTTTCCCCCCTTACAGCCATTTGGTGTGTGAACGTTTTCTCATCTCCTGACTTCTCGACAGAAGTCCGTGATGGGCGGGAAGTTAGAACTTAGGTGGCTTCTGGGGTGTAGGTACTGTTACTAACGCTGTGGTGCTAACTGGTGTGTCCAGGGGAGTCCTGCGGAAGCCTCTGCTCCTTCTCTTTCTAGAGCAGCACTTGCTGGCAGAAATAGAGGGCAAGCCACATCTGTTACTTAAAATGTTCTAAGAATCGCATTTAAAAAGTAGGAAGAAGGGGCGCCTGGGTGGCACAGTTGGTTGGGCGTCTGTTGATCTCAGCTCGGGTCATGATATCAGAGTTCATGAGTTTGAGCCCCACATTGCGCTGATGGTGCAGAGCCTGCTTGGGATTCTGTCTCTCTCCCATTCTCTCTCTCTTTGCCCCTCCCCCTCTTGTGCGCCTCTGCTCACTCGCTCTCTTTCTCTCTCTCTCAAAATAAATAAACTTAAGAAAGGAGAAAGAAACAGGTGAATTTATATTAAATAATGTTTTGTTCAGGGCGCCTGGCTGGCTTTGTCAGTAGAGCATGTGACTCAATCTCAAGGTAGTGGGTTAAGCCCCATGTTGTCGGGTATAAAGATTACTTAAAAATTTCCTTAATTTAAATAGTGTTTGGCAGGAGGCCCCTGGGTGGCTCAGTCGGTTAAGCGTTCGACTTCGGTTCAGGTCATGATATTGTAGTTCGTGGGTTCGAGCCCCACATCGGGCTCTGTGCCGACAACTCAGAGCCTGGAGCCTGCTTCGGATTCTGTGTCTCCCTCTCTCTCTCTGCCCCTCCCCTGCTTGTGCTCTGTCGCTCTGTCTCTCCCCCTCAAAAATAAACATTAAAAACATTTTTTTAAAATAATGTTTTATTTAACCCAATTAAATATTTTTAACATGTAAGCATTATAAAAAATGGCAGGATATTTTACATTCTTTTTTTCACAAGATTAAAAAAAATAAATCTTCTAAATTCTGTGCATCACTCAGACAGCATATCTTAATTCAGTTGCTAAAATTTCACTGGCATACTTGATCTATATTTAGATTTCATAAAATGTACAGTTGGAAGAGTAGACTCGCATACTGAAGTTGTTCCAAACATACTGAAGCATTTTCCACTAAGTGAATCGAGCATCAGTTTTTAAGTGTAAAACTAAGTTAATTCTAATTAGAATAAACGTAAAACTCAGTTTCTCGGTCACTCTGGTCACATTCCAAGTGCTCAGTAGCTAGCTCTGCCTGAGGCCAGTAGGGCCCCAGAGCCAGCCCTCAGCCAGCCTGCGGGGGTGGTGGCAGGAGGTCTGTCCAGGGTAGGTGGGGCTCTTAGGGCTGGGGACCTCAGGCCGGGACTGCCTATTAAATTTGTCCGATAGGGGGCGCCTGGGTGGCTCAGTGGGTTAAGCGTCCGACTTCGGCTCAGGTCACGATCTCACTGTCCGTGAGTTCGAGCCCCGCATCCGGCTCTGTGCTGACTGCTCAGAGCCTGGAGCCTGTTTCGGATTCTGTGTCTCCCTCTCTCTCTG